CTGCTGAACTATTCAAAATTGTTATAAATGTTTAAAAATAAGAAATCTAAAGGCTGTCTTTCCTTTGCCAAAGCTGTTTATACAGCTGTCAGCTACACCTTAGCAAGGGGCAAAGGTCCTTACTGTCTCTCACATTCTGTGAACTGTGTCACTCACTACGACACGATGTGTCATATACTTGCTTTTATTCCCCACATTACAGACTTAAGCAGCAAAGATATTGCATGAGCAGACCGATCCCCCTCTTCTTGCTTCCTCCCTAATTTTATTTTTTAACCAATTCTATGGAATATGAAAGAAAAACCACTCATGATAAAGTATCTTTCACATTTTAGCATCAATTTGAGGAAAGTGCTTATTTAAATTTTCAAATAGCAATGGTTCTGTCATATATTTCCGTGATGAGTGTTTCTTCTGATGCTTTTTAAATCTCATCTTGCAAATACAGCTAGATCACAAGTCATGTATTTGACATCTTAGGAAAGGAGAACTAACTTACTGCGTTGGTTTCTTTAACAGGTGAGATTTATATATTATCAAGCAGTAAAAGTATGACACAGCCTCACAGTGGAAAACTCTACAAGATCATTGACCCAAAAAGGTGAGCCTCGCATTTCTCACTAAGATCTGTCTTTCCTTCAACAGGTTAAGAAACAACAGGTAAATGTAGTTCTTCCCATGTAGCTGAATTATGCAATACTGATATTCAATAAGAAGGGAAATTATCAGTGCAGGGGGCTTCCTAAAAGCAAATGTATCAGCAGCAGCAAGCAGAATAGATTCACTGAAAGCAATCACTGTCTCATAGAAAGTAAATGTCAGAACAACAGAGGTGTAACCAACACTAACTTCCGGAAATTTTTACTCTTCAACATTATGCTAAATGATGCCCACTTTCCCACCTAGATTCACATTCTTTGCATGTTTCAATAGAAGAGTAGACATATTTAATGTGGAACCATACGGACCAGTACAGGTAAAAGATGTTCCTGGTAGTTCTGAAGCCGAATGACTTGTAGGTACAGCAGAGGTTACACAGCATCAATGGAAGGCAGATGCTGGAATTCTCCCCAGCACTAGTTTCCTTACCTGCCACCGCGATGGGACAGTGTACAACGGGAGCTGGCTCAGAAGGTTGGTACTGGCTGACAATACCTCCTCTGTATACTGAAAATCTACTACAGAAAATAATTTGACAGTACTAGCTAGCGGCCAAGCCATCCCTGGTCAGTTCCAGTCTCACTTCCTCAGTTTCAGTTTTGCCATAATCTCTGAGGGACAAATTCAGCCTTTCCCAAACATCTCTTCTGTTGTATAGGGGATACCATCAATGGAGAAGAATACAGAGGACTGAATCCTTAGTGGGTATGAATTGTCACTGCTTACTAGTTTTCAACATCCTTCCATACCCCTGCATTTACCTGTCTCTCCCCGGGGAGGTTTGGAGCACCAAGGAAGGAAACCTTCTGTCCTTGGACTATGTGCCAAAAATACACTAAATTCTTTAACAGTTCTTAAAGCACTGTTTCCAAAAGGCTTACAAATCCCACTCAAATTATTTATAAGACACAGAATTAATATAGGTGGTTTAATTATTTAGACTAATTTACCAGTTGTAAAATGAGGATAAATTAAAGTTATCAAACCATAGTTTTTTGAGATATGATCACTTCCCGGTTCTTTGCAGAGCAGCTAGAGCTATGAAAATATTAGGGAATTTGAAAAGACTGCAAAAAGCCAGTCCCCAACGTGACCCAGGGGCCCCAGCAGCAGTAAGATAAGATGACTGGCAGATACTCACTTAAGCTGGAGCAATACCATTTTCTTCGTGAAGGATCTTGCTGCTCTATCAGACCAAGTCTGTGGCATGTAAAGGTACCACATCCACCCTGCAAAAGCAGCAGCAATTAACACAAAATGAAATGGCCACAGAAATGAAGTTTGTTGTATTAATCACTTTGACCCCATCATACCCTGCAAAAGCAACTGCCTATTTGTTCAGCATCTACTTCAGCATGCTTCCCCGTTAGCATCACATACAGTTAGGCTTGGATTTTTGGTTTTGCTGTTGACTGCTTAAGAGAGGAATTTATTTTCTTCTCAGAATCTAAAAATTGTTATTTGGACAACAAGTTAATTCAATAATAGATTCATTAAATCGGATGCACACTGTGCTGTAAGTGCCAGTAGAGCTTCAGTGTTTTGTAATTATACTATCCCAAACCTACAGCAAATGATCTGGAAGCAGATGTTACTGCAGGTTAGTGCAGTCTGTCAGTCAAGGTTATTATGTATGCTTTATTTATGCTTTCTGGTATTAAAAACATTTTTTTAGAACAAAACTTGCCATTCTTACCGGGATTGTTTAGTCTGTTGGTGTATGGTTTTAAGTGAATTTTACACCCTAAATCCACTATTAGTATCTAATTACATGCGGCTGCCTTGTTTGACCTCAGCTTTTTGTTCTTGTTACCTCTTCCAGTAGGGTGGTCTTCAGCTGACATACCTGAAAGGCCAGACCTCCCATTGCTGCACTCACGGTTGGCTGTTTTCATGTATGGAAAAGGGTCAAGACTGTGTTTGGTTACTGGTGAAAGTAACCAGAAAACTGTAAGATACTTTTGTAAATTGGCGCACAGTTGAAATTAAGCAGACTGTGGCAAAGGGATATAGTTTTTGATAACACTTTTTAGAAATATGGGATAATTTTCATTCAGGCAAAGTTTTGAGTTTTGTTGGTTTTCAATCTCACACCACTGCAGGCTTTTAAGTGAAAGATAATGAGCTTCTTCCACAAAAGAGCATTGCAGCTCTATTTACCATTTCGTGTTAATTCCACATTACACATCTAAACAATTTAAAAGTTCCATGGCTTTGGCAAATGTTCATGTAAAGCTTTATTAATGAAATATTAATTGTTATTCACATGCTAATATTTTTTTGCATGCTAATATTTTGTTGCTCCTTTTAATGTCTTCCCCATGGTATGCACCATACAAATACATCAAATATAGATGTAAAACCTAGCACAGTAAGCTTTCTAGAACACAAAATAAAGATGCTACATGTGGGTTATGAGCATCAGGTATCAACGAAGTCATCAAAGTATTGATTTGTCACGTCTTAGAAATTCATGACGTACTAACAAAAGCCTGTGAGGGGTGGTCCCTGGAAGACTCATCAATTTGCAGAGAGCGCCTTCCATGCATGGGACCATGTGAAAGAACAAAATTATCCTTCCTTGTGGTAGCCCCTTGCTGGACATTAATAACATCATGCAAAACCCAGTCTTCTGCAAGTGGTCATTCATAAGCTGCTGCAAGCTTATGAAATTATTCTTTTATTCTAAATAATAAATGTTACGTGAAGGTGTAGGATTTGGTATCTTTTGATCTTTGTAGAAAACTACTGCATAATCACAGTTGTTCCAAAACATAACCACGACCCTGATTTCCTTGTCTCAAATATAGCCTGAGAAAGAAACCTAATACTTGGATATTGATAGCAGTAGAAAAAAATTCAAAAGAAGTGGGTGGGTTAATGCACTGGAAGATCAGAGGATGAGGGTAATCCAGAGAACCCTTTGCATTAGTTTTCAATAATCCTCTATAATCAGCAATGGGCAAGTCCTATCCTAAAACAGTCCTTCACGTGGAATAAAAATGAGGTGTTAAACTGAGGTGATGCATGACTAATTGATAAATACGATCAACACAGAAGTTCTGAATCCCTCCGTCATCAAGGCAGTTTGAAACATAGAATTCAAGGTACCACAGGAAACTTTTGTTCAGTTCCTCCAAATACTTCACGTCAATAACTAAATAGCCTCACATGAAAAGCACAGAATTAAATAATCCTTCTCTGTGTAACAAGGTTGTTATAATGATACATTAGCACTTGGGAGCCCTTAGACAATGAAGTGATAAATCAGAAACAGAAAAGTTAAAAATGAATGTAAATGCCAAGTATGTGAGGTGCTGCAAAATACACATATAATACCTATTACCAAAATTGAGTAGAGTGAGGAGTATAGGTAAGAGCACGTTTAGCTTTGAGTTTGGAGGAGATGTGGGAAACCCTAAGAATTACAAACACATGAGACCAGCATTATGTAAATCAGTTAACATAGCAGAAAAAAGAAGAATTTCTTAAGTTAAAACTGTGTCTCTGAAAAATATAGCCATTCTTTGTTGGTTATAAAAAGATGTTATCACAGGTAAACTACTTTCCAGGATTAGGAACTGATAAGAAAATATAGGGAGAGAGACTTACATAGTTCTCCACTAAAAGGTAGAATTAGTCAGATGTCCTGAAGACCAGTGCAAATAGTAGCATTTTTATAAATTGTCTTTCTGACCAAAAAAGAAAACCTTTTTATTTTCTATTTTTCTACTTTCTGTTTTATAATTTTTCTGTCTCTCTTTCTGCTTCTACAAATCCATACTAATCTCAATCACAAAACCATTGATGAATGCATAGGAAAAATAACTAGGTAAACAGTGATATAGAAAATATGTATAGGTCCAAATATTCCGGTTAGTCAATAACAGAGAATAAGGGAGACAAACCCATGGGAAAAGAAAATGTAATCATTTTCTATCATGATGAGAGGAGAAAATCAGCTGTAGGCAATATTAAAAATGCATATTTAAATAAGAGATATCTGTTGATGGGTTCTTATCATCTGTAATTTAAACATTATTACCAGCTGTTCTTTGAAAACCATAGACAGGGACAGACCAAGGAGTAAGAAAATGAACTTTGAAAGGTGACAGAAAAGCCATAATGTGGATTTGTAAGTCTTCTTTTAGAATATTTCTATTATGATCACTTTTATCTCTAAGCAAATTATAGATAAAATGGAAGAGAGTCAGAGAAAAGTACTCAAACTGACGGACAATGCGGAAGATTTCCATTTAAAAGATGAGACTAAACCCAGAAAAGTTTATAGGGCAGTCACGCAGCGCCTGTATCCCCTGTGAGGTTTTAAGTGTTTGCCACTGTCCACACCATGATTCCAAAGGGAATGAATAATTCTTTTGACCAGGATGGCTCACTGGAGCCAGCAGGTGATTTTTACAAAAGGGGGCAGAGCTTAAGTGTCCTTGCACATTGAGTAGATTTCCTCTTCCTCTCCTTATAACACTTTATAGATCTGGATTTCAGTATGTTTTGTATCAACAGCCAGAATAGCTGCTTTCCGTTGGATTGAAACTTGAACTTGATTCAAACCATCTCACTCCTCTTTCATGACCCTCCAGAGTATGTAGTTCCACTTATCATCCTTTCCATCATCACCTTCTGGGATTTCCGCCATCGGCGGGTATTTCCAAACAGACTGATTTCAGACACTGAGGGACAATACCTAGGTCATACCTCATTTTGACAATGTACAAAAACATTAGTGAATTTATTTTTTAGTATGAGACAGGAGTGTTTGATGGTATGATAGAAGAATAGCATTTATGAAAGCATAGCCCTCTTGAAGACTTTAATTACTATGGAAATGGAAACTCATAAACGTATGGTATTAGACTAATCTGCATCAAGATACTCAGTTGTGCTGGGTTATAGATATACTCTGAAGCTACTACTGGAAAC